ACTCTCCAAAAATGTATATGAAGAAGAGGCACAGTGGTGTTTGATTTAGCTCAACCCTGCAGAGGGCAGGGTCACATCAGTCACGTGTGATGCATCGAGGAAGGGGATGACAGATCCTCTCATCTACATAGACATTTGGTAATGTTTGCCAGATGGTTAAGGCTATTGAAAAAACAGAAATCATTGGGAACAGGAAAGAAAAGCTCTGCTCAGCTGTGGCAGTGAAGAGGAAGTCAAAATTTATTCAACAAAGTGGCTCACTATGACTTGAAAATAAGTTGGCACTGAGGGGGATCAAGCACAATGGGCACATCATCTTATTTGGACAGGCTGCATTGACCCAGCCTTGTGGCAAGTTCCCACTTATATATTTGCCCAATATAGGCTTCTGCCTTGTGCCAGGTGCCTTATGGGCATGCTCAATACAGGCTGTAGTCCATCAACTTTGTAGCTGATTCTCATGACTGAGCATGTGCTGCTTCTGGCAGTGGTATAATGACAAAGTATTTAATGAGGTTTTTCCTGGTCAGGGACCAGAAAATGGCTTTGAATTTTCAAAAGTAGCTGTATTATGAATTAGCCATATTGTAAAGCATTAAAAAAAATCCTTGTGGCTGGGGAGTGACAATAGCTTCAAAGTATCCAATACATTGAACTATCCAATATCAAACTAATCAGGTTTTCCTGTACTATCAAAGAGCACTACCTGGAACTGCTGATCAAAGCTTTCCAATCTTGAGTGGATGTGAGTGCTACAACGGGATATACTTACGAGATGGACAAAAGTACATTTGCACAGGCTTCCAGAAGGGCTTCAGATTGTGAAGCAGCTGTAACACATTTATGAATCTATAGTAATAACAGGGAGCTAAAAATTACCCTAACTTTAGCTGTGGATGAAGCACGGTTGAAGTTGGAGTGATTTTGTTGCATTAGTACTACTAGACACTCGTTCACATGCAACAATTAGAGCATAACAGCTGCTGCGTGGTGAAGCAGCAGCTCCTCCTCCCCTTTTGACACTGCTCCAAGTGTATGGTTGTCTATGTCCTTAGAGATACATAAATCAAATGACAAGGAATTATTTGTTGTTTCAGGTTCTACCTAAGTATTATGAACAAGTTTAGTGAATAAATTCTGAAATAATATAGGCAATAATTAGAGATTCATTTATTTTGGGCACTATTCTCCAAAAGATGAAAACAAAGCAAACAACCCCTGGAAAAAACTTCATTAGCTAATAGGTGATACTAAGAAATGCTACTCCAAATAACATGTAAAGTTACATAAACAGTTTTTAGCATGCTGTTGATTTTAACAGCAAAGTTATCAGCCAATGTAAAATACATAATTCTGATATCAAACTTAAATATAGGCATCAATGATAAATGTTGTCTGCACAACAAGCAAACCTAATGTACCTCTGATTCCAGCTTTCATTCCCTGGGCCCTTCATGTCCAAGGCCTTACTGTGAAAAACACTTAAAATAATAAGATCGGTTACTCTAGGATAAACTTGTTATTTTGGTAAAGTGTTTTAAGATTAAAGATTAAAAACATAATAATACTGAAATCATGTTTTGCAAATGCCCACATATAACAAGGAATATCAGTTCCTTTGCCTTCTCTCTTCTTATGGATAATATGTATATAGACTGCAGTGCCCATACAATAAAATCCTGATTTTGGATAAGGATACATTGGTAGATGTAAAATATTTATACACAGAGATACCTTAGCTGTGTACTGAAAAAATACCAGTACTTAATCACTCTATTATACTGAAAATTAGATATCACAATACCTTCAAAACCATCCCTTACACAAATGCAGTGTTACTGAAGAAAAATGTGTGATGGCCTTCCCAAAGCTATTGGTTCCATCAGATGTGCGAAAAAAAGTATTTTTCTGCAAACTGTATACATCTGCAAAGTAGAACTGTGTTTCCTCAACTACTCTATAACTAAGAGCACTCCATTCTGACAGATAGGGTTCCTCCGAGTAAAATTAAGGTGTTTGTACAGCCAAACAAGGAGTGGAGTAGGAAGGGGGGCCTTTCTCCACACAGTTACTTTTTAAGGTCCATATACTGCTACCAAACCTCTTTTACAAATATTACCATACCATAAATTAAATTAAAATATACAAGTTTATTTCTACCATTGCTATTCTTACAAATACACTAGTAAGTCCTGATGCTTAAAATAAAGATATGTGGGCAGCCACTGCACCCAACTGGGAAGTGTTCAGACATATGGAGTAACTCTGAAAAAGGGGGTCAGTGGGTAGAGTTTGAGAAATCACTTCATAGCTGTCTTTTTTTAAAATTTTTTTGGCGAGACTAGACTCAAAATGCCTTTAAAAATATTGATCTACAACCTCAAAAAGGAAGCACCACGATCAGTATCTGATCAATTATTAAGTATATCACAGATAGTTACCAAATATTTGAGAAAGGGGAGCAATATGATGCTTCTGCCAAGGTACTAACCTATCACCCCTAGCCTCAACCCTAAACCCTACAAACATTAAATACACATTTAGGCAACTTTGCAAAATGAGTCAAATGCTAATGTTTTATGCTTTAAGATTTGAGCTTCAAGGTAGTAGTTAATATACTACAAGAGTGCCTTCTAGGGCACAAAACAACTAAAAACTAAAACAAAATAAACCTAAAATATAAGAGGAAATGAAGTTCACATATAATGGTAAGCTACTTAGGTCTAAAATGCAACAATGTTTGTATATATTCCAATTTAATGCTGACAAAATGAAAAGTGCATTCACGAAAGGAAAAAAAGGACTTTGTCTTGAGTAGAAAAATAAATATTTTCACTATGATGCATATAAAAACTCCTAAATGAAACATCAAGTAGAAAACTCCAACAACAAAAAAACATGACACACTGATTAACTGAAAAGAGACATACAATTAACTGGGATATAAAATAAAAGGGGGAGAAATCCTACAATCTATGCCCTTGTCAGAATCCCAGAAAGTAGAACATAAATAACTAAATGCACCCCCTGTAAATGCAAGATTGCACTCTACACTATATAGTCTCTGCGATATTTTTCTCTAATTACTTAAGAAACAGCACAGGCAAAGAGCTTCTGCCACTTTCTCTAACTCATCTACTGCTTGGTTAACAACATACTTTAGGAATCTTTTTTTTCGCCTGGGTGTAGAGTCTATGTTTATTTTTCCTTTATTTCAGCCCATAATTCTCTATTATGCCCAACTGGACTACCTTGAACAATTCCTCACCTATTTTTGTCTGAGCACAATTATTTAATACTTGTTGATTGTTCTGTTTCCCCCCCTCAGTCAAATTAGGTACATTTAGTTCATTTAATGTTGCCTATATAACCTCTTATTACTCTCAATTCCCTCCAGCTTTTTGGTATAATCAGAACAACATAATATTTTAGGTGAAGACACAGCATTCAGTTATGAAATCATCACTTTAACCCCTGGATATGACTAGGAGCATAACTTGGAGTAGGTGACCAGGGCAAGAATGAGGGCATACAAAAATGGCTATTGCCTAGGGCACAGAAACTGTTTTTTATGCCTCTTGGACAGGACTCTGCATAAACCCCAACCAGGTGTGACCAACTTGATCCAGGCAGTGCTGCAGCTTACACTTTGTTACAGTGTCCACATCCCAAATCCAATACAGAACAAATCCTGAAGTACAGGTGATAATTCAGAATGATTCGAGGATTTCATTGCTGGAATGTATCTCCAGAACAGCTGGTGTACAGTATTTACAGGCAGTCCTCCACTTAAAATGTTTCGAGTTACATTTCGCACTTACAACGTTTATAAATTTACACCCTTTTTCAACTTTACAATGTGAGTTTCGACTTTACAACACTTGATCCAATGTGACGCCACACCAGTGAACAAGTTCACTGTGTCACCCACGCCCCCAGAGAATATCTGTCCAAACTTCCTTGGACATTTTCTTTAAGAAAACAGACGAGACTCCAGAAAAACCTGCAGCCAAGACTCCTGAGAAGACTCCAGCCAAGAACCCTTCAAAAAGTCCAACCAAGAACCTTTCAAAAAGTCCAGCAAAGTAACCTCAAAAAAGTCCTTCCAAATCAATATGATTGCTATTTACAATATAAATATATTAATGTAGCTATATTACTCATTTATAATTGATCGAGTACAAAATTCTGGGGTATTTTTGGTGGAAATAGGGTATCAGGCCCTGGTTCAGGAACCAATCCCCCATTTATAACATTGTTTCTTACGAGACAATTGGTTCCAAGTTACAACGTTTCAACTTCAGAGACAGTTTTCAGGAACCAATTGTGTCGTAAGTCCAAGGACTGCTTGTACTCCATTCTTCATTTATACCAAATGGCTCTCTAAAAATGATCACCTGAATCAATCCTGCAGTCATTTTTCTTCCTAAAAGGGAGCCTTGAATCTATCACATGTTCCCATATCTCCCTCACTGTTACCTCTGGACTATAAAATTAGAAGTTCCCCAATATCCTTCAAAATCCCTTTTACCATCTTGTCAGATCTCGTCTCGACTCCTGGGAAAGTACTGCGAAGTATTTATTTGGGTAATTCTTTCATACGTTTATGACAATTTTCTCACTAAACCTATTTATAAAAAAACCAAAAAAGCACTTGTTCCCTGTTTAGACGAGGGACAGTTTATTTTAGTCACATCATAACTTTTAGTCCTTTTCAGAGCTGGGATACCCCTGCTCACTTAAAATCTTACATAAATTCCAGTCTAAATAGAATGTCAAATGTCTTGTAATGCTGTTCTTGCTGCTGATCAATAAGAATTTCACCTGAGGGGTTTTATCTATATATAGACTGGAGAAAGAGCAAGAGAGTACTTCCTAACATGGCCATTCATTACGTAATGTGAAACCTATTTCAAGCTATCTCATGCAATTTTAAAAGGCTTTCATCTACCCTATTTTTGCCTCTGCAACAAGATAGGGGAGGACTGTAAATTTCTTACCCGCACTATTTCACAGTCAACATTTAATTCTGCAGCGACAGCTTCAATTTTCTCTCTGCAGACTGAGCCCAGGCTGGTCATGCCATTGTCCCAGTATTTCTTTAAGGTGGCTAAATCTCGGTCACTAAACTGTGTGCGGTCTTGTAGCTGGAAGACAAGAAGTGATTATTAGAATAAAGCAAAAAGAAAATGAGTTTGGGTGATGCAGGCCTTTTCACTTTGCCATTACAAAACCAAAAATCCTAGAGGAGGAAACCACTCATCTTGTAGCTCAATAACTTAGTTGTGAAGGCATCTGACCAGGATCCTGTTTTTAGCCCCCCACAGCCAAAGGGGGCTTGAACCTACATCTTGCACTTCCCAGCAAAGTATCTTAACCACCAAGTCAGGGTCTAGGCAGGATCAAGAGTATTACCCATTTTTTTCTCTTAAGGTAAACTACTGGGCTGCCAAAAGAAGACATATGGAACTAGGGAAACAGTGTAAAGAGAAACTAGCTCTGCTGTTCAGAGAAATGGTACTGGCCTGGAAAAGGAGACTACTCTGGGTTCTGGCCTCTATACTTGGCCCCAATGCTGTCTATCCATTTTATCAAGTGACTAATGCAGAACTCTCCCTGGGCAAGTGCTTTAATCACTAGGTAATGAGCCAAGGTTGAGTGGCTCAAACCACACAAACACTGGCTGTGGTTTTTCACTGATTAATGTTTCAGGGACCACATGCTTTCCCAAGCATGATATAGAATAGTAAGAGTATCAAGGTACGTACAAGCTTTCACACAAACTGGCATAAGTTAGGCAGTCTAGTTTAGGCCGTTTGAAACCCTTTGTACAAGCATTCATAAGGCTGGCTACGTGCTCTGCAGACAGACTGTTGCCAATGGCCCCAGAGCACACATCTCATTATGCTTTGCAAGCTCCCCAGTTTGTCTACAGGCAGATGACAGCACCCAAGGGCACAGGTTAGGGCTGACTGGGTAGACCACATCCCCCTTCCCCATAACACCTCCTCCAACCTCCCTACCAGCTGTCAGTCATTCATCCAGCAGACCCAGAGACACTGTGTTGTCTTTTCAAGCTCATCAGTTCCCCTTCCAGCAGCGCAATAGGTCCTTTGACCTCTGGCACCAGCTGAGACCCAGTTTCAGCATAGGGCAGATGAGTCTGGTCTGGGTTGGGTGTTGTGTGGGTGCCAGCATGTCCAGTGGGGCAAATGAGACCAGTCCACTTCCATGGGGCATGGGGAGCAGGCCCGAAGTGTCCAGTTCTGTGGAGAGGGGCAGGGTCTGGGAGCTTCAGAAATGAGGGGGGTGGGGCAGGGTCTTGCCCTCACCCACAGTGCATTGACAAGGCCCCTACCAGGCCCCTACCTGAGAGGCTGGTCTGTGTAGAAGGGGTGTGGGGGGGTTCCAGAATGGCAGGGGTCACTGCACTTCAGGTACATGAGGGGGCAGGGCTTGGGGAACAGCACAGGGTCTTCAGAGTCCAGGTCCAAGAGGTGAGGGCCAGGTCCAAGCAGATCCAGGGCAGGGTGGAGGGGGACAGGAAAGAAAGGGTGTGCTGGCAGATTACCTTCCTCTCCTGCTTAGGGTTCAGCAGGGTTAACGCTGCACAGCCCCACGGCTGGGGAAAGGGGTTGGGCTTTCCCAGCCTAGGGGGAGGAAGGAGGGAAAAGGTTGGTCTGCGACTCAGCTGGAGAAGTGCAGTCTGATTGACCTACAGATTTTCACTGGTGGTGGGGCAACAGAAGTGAAGACAGAGCAAGGCAGACTGAGTGCTTTTATTGGACAAGTAAGTGTATAAGCATTCATTAAACTGGCAGAATCTCCAACTGGACTAGACTTAGACCTGGTCAGACAAGCTTTAAATTTAAACCACAAGCATGTTTTTTCAGACCACACCAAGCATGGTAAACACTTGTACGTTTAGGGTTCCTACCAGTGGAATTGTGATTCCACTGGCAGAAATGTAAATCGCTGAATGCATCCAAAGAAGCCATAGCACATGCAGGACAAATCTAGTTGGACAGGTGGGAGTAAGATCTAAAAATTGGTGATGCTGGCACCTGTGCTTCTAACTTCAGGTGGCACCTTAGCCATTCAGGCTAGGGACAGAAATTAGCCGGTAAAAATGAATGAGCTGGTAAAAAGTGATTAGAACCCAGTTGAAACCTGTAACAAAACAGAAGTTCAGTGCACATACACCAGTTTCAAAATGGCAGAATCCAGTTTAAGATAGACCTGGATGGATGCAGTACTAGATTCAATCACTTTAGGTTACACTAGTCTATTGAACTTCTGTTCCAGATCCCCTCCCAACACAAGTTGATCCCAGTCCTTTGGCATTCTAGGGTGCACTGTGGGCCCCACTTAACTCCCCTCCCCCCAGCTGCTGGGCAGGCTTGCCTCCACCCCCAGGTTGTCATAGAGCTTCAAAGCCTCTGCTCCCCAGCCCAGCTAGCAGTAGCAAATGGGAAGGGGGGGAGGGGCAAATGGTCTGCACAGCAGGGGAGGGAAGCCCCCGAAACAGGGGCTTTCTGCCAGGCAGCAAATGCTCCAGCCTTGCCTGCTTGCCAGCCCTCCACCTCTCAGCTGCTGAGATGCAGTGGTGCTGGCAAGGGGGCAGGGCTGGAGCATTTGCTGCCCAGCAGAGCTGGGCTGCACAGGGGAATAGTCCCCACCTCGGAGGCCTAGAACCAGGGGTTCTCAAACTTTGTGATACCACGACCACCGATCGATGAGTGAGGGGACCCCCCACGTACCCGAGCAGCGGTGAAAGCGGTGAAAGCGGAAGCGCCGGCTGTGCATGGGTTTGTGACCCCCTTTTAAGTTGGGTCACAACCCACAGTTTGAGAACCTCTGGTCTAATCTACACAGTTTAGAGAAACCTGTATAGATTGGATCGAGTCTGCCTCCGGCTTTTCGGTTGTCTGTACTTAGCCTTAAAGGAGAAGCTGGATTTAGGCCTGTGTCTTAGACTTTCTACTATTTAATTATCCCTTTTCTTTTCTTGAAAATCTGATTTTTCAATCCAGAGCAGCACCAAATTCCCTAGGCTTTACCTCTGCCAGTACATTTAGAAGCAAAAGGAAGGTTTAAATGCTGTGGCCTTTCTTAATTCTACCTGATCTTTTGATTGGTCTTACCTCACTTTCACAAGGTTTAATGAGTGTAACCATGTTTTTGCTCTGGCTGTTTACTCTCTCCTCCCAGTTTAGGCATATTACTCCTTAATGCTTTCTAATCTCCTCCTCCCTCTGGAGAACTCTTTTATCTTACTGCAAACTACAATATATGCATAATTCAAAAGAATTCCAACTCCCCTAAAGGGAATGCTTTAATGTTTATTTGGTAAGCCCTGGAGTTTAACATTGTTTCCACGGTTTATTTGCAGTTTCCCAAATGTTGCGTTTTGATAAAACTGCACATATGATAATAGACTATGGATTGAAGCAAGGCCACTGGAAATAATTTTAAGGTTACACACCACTTCTTCATTTTGTGTGGGAGTGCATTTAAAATGTGTTGTCAGACTGTTCTGCAAACAAAACCATTAGTGTAGTTATACTTGTTAGTCCAACTATCTTAATTATCATTTTAGTTTCCTTATGCTGACACATTCCCCATCTCTCCTGCTGCTAGAAATCAACAAAAGCAACTATACTTACTTTCCGCATGAAGAGAGCAACAACACACCTGCATATGGGTAGCTGCTTATTACTTACATCAATTACTAGAATTAGACCTCTGAAACCATGTTTTCTACATCTGAGAAGGGGAGGGCTTACATTAAAAAGAAAAACCTTATTAAAAATCAATATAAGTTTATTTGATTCTTTGTATTAATCTAAAAATTAGCAGACTAAAGATACTGCTAATATTTTGGACAGCATCTACATGTTGTTCTTCCTACTTATGGAAACTCTCTAGTTTTTTTTTTGTTTCAAAGAAATGACTAAAAAGTCTTTAGAAAAATATTTGAGCCTCTGCAATAACAAATTTATATACTGTGGCATACCAATTTTACAAGTTGTTTTCCAGAGCAACCGTGTACTATGTAGACCAATTATGGAATTCATAATATATTCCAAAGATTATAAGTGGTTAATATTGCACAATATTTAATTAATGAAACAATACCCAAAACACTCATTGACTATATACAGTTCCACTCATTTGGGCATTGTAATGGGGTCCTCTCCAGGAGTTGCTGCAAAGCTCCTGGGAGCCCCCTTAGCTCTTGTCAACTCTGCTTTCTTGGGACCATCGCCCCTTCATCTCACCTGCCACGCCTTGCTGTAATTATAATTTTTGAAGAGATGCTGCCCCAGAGCTCCTGAAGCCAGATCTCAAGCTCATGAGTACAGGGGTGTCCCTACTCATTGCTTTAAGGGCTAATGATGCCTCCTCATCTCCCCTTATAGCTATGCCCAAGCCTCTCAGATGTTACCAATCACTCACTAGCTCTGGCCTGCATCCTCTACCCCTCCTGGGCTCAGGGCTCTGTCTCTTTCCACCCACAGCCAGGCACTTCACCCATTTTGGCTACTCCTGGGTGTAACCCAGGGTCCTCAAATGTGTTTCCATCTCTTGGAGACACTGGGCCCTTGCCCTGTCTCTGCAATTCTCTGGGCTGAGAGTCCTGGGCCCTGTCAGTCTCCAGCTGTGGTCCTCCTCAGTCTTTGAACCCCTCTGCCCAGGCCTTGACCCTGCTCCAAGGCCAACTGAGACCTCCCAGGCTACAGGCTCCCTGACCCTGCTTGTTCTCACCCCTCCTAGGCTGAGCCCTGCTTCTTTGCCTGGCCACTGCTCCTGGGCCAGTTGAGATCTCTACTGTCCTTGGGCTATAGGACTATTTCCTTATGTCCCTACAGTCTCAATCCCTAAACTGCTGGTCTTGCTTACTTCAGCTTAAGTGTTAATCAGAAGCCAGGCTGCAGCCCCACTGCTCAGGAGCTCTTCTCTCTATAGCTCTCAGGGCTAAACAGCTCAGCTCAAGCCCTGAGTTTATATCCTGCAAGCCCAGCCCCGTTAGGTCACATGGCTCCTAAAAAGCCAACAGCATACCAGGTTGTATCTAGGTGTTTCACTTGCAAATCAAAATAACTGCTTCTTCTGCATTATTCAACACCAGGGAAGCCTCCCCAGG